CAACCCCGGGTTGAGCTCTCCGTAATCCCGATGAAACGGCTGCCCAGAGCCAAGCCAGCCATTGCCATGGAAACCACATGCTATTTTCACCATCATCTTCCCAACCAACCCCAGCCTCAGGGCACCGGCATTCCCGGCCCCGCATCCCCTCCGACCCTCAGCTGGGGGCACCGCCATCCCCGGCGCCAAATCCCAAATCCTTTCTGAACCTCAGCCCAGGGGCACCGGCATTCCCGGCCCCAAATTCCCTCCGAACCTCAGCCCAGGGGCACCGGCATTCCCAGCCCCAAATTCCCTCTGAACCTCAGCTGAGGGCACCGGCATTCCCAGCCCCGAATCCCAAATCCTTTCCGAACCTCAGCCTGGGGGCACCGGCATCCCCGGCTCCACATCCCCTCCCTGGAGACACGGAGCATCATTCCAGGTTTCCATGATCCGGGGGGCTGCCTCCTGGGCTTTGGCTCTTACCTCCTTCCAGGAGGGGTCTCCCGGCTGGTCAGGGTCCGGCCTGTCCCTCCTCCTCCTCCCGGGACACGGGATAACCCAGCGGGATCAGGCTCTGCCGGGCGGGAGACCCTCCTGGAGGAGCTCCTGGGGCTGGGGGCTCCCAGCGGGGCTGTTCCTCTGCCCTCGGAGGGGGAGGAACAGGAGGGGGGGGTCCAGCCTTCCCCATCCCCAGCTCCAAACTGGTCCCAGCAGGGCTGTGTCTCCCATGGGGGATGGCACCCCTGCAGGGCCGCTGCCTCCCCAATTCACTGAATTTCACTGAATTTCACTGAATTTTCGAGTTGGAAGGGACCATAGAGACCATCTAGTCCAACTCCCCTGCTGAAGCAGGATTGCCCAGAGCTTGTCAGAGCATGTTACTCAGGAGCATCCAGGCGGGGCTTGAAAATCTCCAAGGAAGGGGACTCCACACCCTCCCTGGGCAGCCTGTTCCAGGGCTCTGCCACCCTCACTGTGAAGAAGTTTCTCCTCCCATTTGAGTGGAACCTCTTCTGGTCCAACTTGTGCCCGTTGCCCCTCATCCTCTCACTGGGAACCACTGAAAAGAGTCTGGCTCCCTCCTCCTTCAACCCTCCCTTGAGATTCCCAATTTTTCCCTGCAGCCTGCTCTCCCGCTGGCACCTGCCCTGGAGAAGCCCGTGGTGCTCCTCAGAGGTGACACCGGGCTCCAGAATTGGCCTGGGGAGGGGGAGATGGGGAACTGGGGGGACCCTGGTGGTCACCAGTTCCAGAGGGGATGGTCAGAGGGGACGGGAGGACGCACAGGACGGAGATAAAGCCAGGAATGACCAAGGCCTCTCATGGGGGTGGGTTGGGAACCAAACACGTTCTCGCCCGGGTTTGGGGGTCCCCGTAGCCCCCCCAGCACTACATCCCACCACCAGATCTCCCACCACCATGCTCTGTCCCCTCCTCGCCCTGGCTTTGTCCTAAAGATCCGGGCAAAGGAGGAGAACGCAGCCGCAGCCATCGCCATGGCAACCGCACCACTGCGTCAGGGCTTTTCTTTCTTTTTTTTTCTCTCTCTCTCCAAACTGCAAAGCTGGATGAGCAACTCCCTCAGGGAAAGTAGTAGGAGAGAAGGGAATATTTTAATTTTTTTTTATTTTTTTTTTTTTTTTTTTTTTTCCCTGTGGGCTTTGGGGCTGCCAGTTCCCAGGCTGGGAACCAGCTCAGTGTCTCACCCAGGGGGGACAGAAAGGGGCAGGGGACAAGGGGACAGACCTTGTCTCTCCACACCATGGGAGCTCCTGGAGCAGGGAGAGCCTGCAGGAAGCTCGGGAAGGAGCAGGAGAGATGAGGGGGGGACACTCTTGATGAGGGAGGGGAGCCCTAGGAGGAGGGGGAAGGGTTTGACCCTGAAAGAGGGGAGATTTAGGTGAGCTGTGAGGAGGAAATTCCTTGCTGTGAGGGTGGTGAGAGCCTGGCCCAGGTTGGCCAGAGAAGCTGTGGCTGCCCCATCCCTGGAGGGGTTCAAGGGCAGGTTGGAGGGGGCTTGGAGCAACCTGGGCTGGTGGGAGGTGTCCCTGCCCAGGGCAGGGGGGGAACTAGGGGGGCTTTGAGGTCCCTTCCTACCCAAACCACTGGTGATTCCATGATTGCTTAATTAACTGCCGTAACAGACTCATGCAGCAGCCCACCAGGTGAGCTCCCCGGGGGTCTGCGGCTCCTGCCTGGGGTCAGAACAGGCAGATCTGGGGCAGACAAAACCCCCCGAGATCCCCAGAACTGGGACGGCAGCGGAGAGATCTCCACTCGAACCCGGCCTCTCCCATAGTGGCTCTGGCGGAGTCACGGGAAAGGCACCGACGTGCCCCCAAAATGAGCTCGAAATCCCACTTTTGGGGACAATCCAGGCAGAGCTGCCACCGCCATTCAGTGGTGCAGGGCAGTGAACAGGGATATTTCCAAAACGCCCAACCCGTGCCAGTTTTGCCCAAGGAGTAAAAACAATTAAAAAGAATTAAGAAAAAGGGTGTTTGTCCCTCACAGTGCTGCTCCTCCCCTCGAGTGTCCTGGGGTGTCTGTCCATCCATCTGTCCATCACTCCCACCGCTCAGAAAATGGCTCTGTGCCTCAAGGTGACTCCATCCGCCCTCCTCCTGGAGCAGAAGTGCTCTCGTTAACACGTCTCTAATTTAATCAAGGTGCTGGGGAGGTGAGCTCAGGGCTGGGCTCTCCTCTTCCCTCTTGAAGGGCAAAAATCAATTTCCTTCCCGCCAGACGAGCCTCGTCGCTCCTCCGGGCCACGGCCTGTGCTCGGGTACTACGCAGCCCCCTGCAAAATTAGGTAGAATTAAATAAAACCCCCCAGGATTATTCAATAATTCAAACCCACATTTTGGAATTGAAACACCCTCCTCAAATCAGGAAAAGAGCTTTCTCATTTGCATAAAATATTGTACCACTTTATCCCTCTATTCAGAGTTTCCTTCTGTTTTCAACTATTACTCTAACACTTTCTGAGTGTTGAACCTTTTCTTCTCCTTTTACTGCAAAAAGTATCATATATATTTTATATATATATAGTTAAGAGTATATTATCATTATTCAGTGTTGTGACTTTGCTCTCAGGACTGGAAAGTTACTAAGTTGTTTCAGGGTAAGAAAATACTACTACTATTAGATTGGTGCCTCATCAATATTGTGTTTCTCAGAGGGTTCGAGTGCTCTGGCAGCCGTGACCCCCAGCCCGCAGGCGGGAGCCGCGCTGAGGGGGAACGAAACTCCTGGGTTTGGGTGTAAAACAGCTGAGATTGGGGCAGAGCGCAATACCGAGAGTCCTCGGGATTTCATAATTACTACACACACTTGTGTACAAAACAACCCTTCCCCCCCCTCGTGGATCCCCAAAAGGTGTAATAACAAATCTGAGAGGAAAAGCCCGATTTCCTTACTTTGGGAGGCAGAGAATGGGCAGTCGCTGCTTTTACAGAATAATAGTGGGCAGAAGGCGACTTTGCATTTCACCGAGGAGGCTTCTTTTCACTCTGCTGTAAGTGCTCAGTTAGGAAAATCAGTGACATTATCTGCCAACAAACAGCCCTGATTTGAGTAGTTTTGTGCTGTGGGACCCTGCTCTCCGAGCGGGAGGAGGGGAAGGAGGGGAAAGAGGGGAGGATGGCGGGGAAGGAAGGGAGGATGGAGAGGAAGGAGGGGAGGGTGGAGGATGGAGAGAAAGGACTGGAGGGTGGAGGAGAGGATGGAGGATGGGAGGGAAGGGAGGAGGATGGAGGCTGGGTCTCTACACACTCCTCCTGCTGTGAACTGCGGAGGGAACCGTGTCCTGTCGCAGTGTCACCGCTGATGTGGCTCCTGCAGGGACACTCGAGGTGACTCCAGGGCCCGTCCTCGCTCCACTTTCTCCCACCCTCCTGCGCCTCTTCCCCTCAGACGTGCTGCTCCGCATTTTCTAGGCACGATTGTACTTATTGTATGAAAAAACTGGAAAAAATTTACCCTTAAGGCTTTTTAAACCCAAGTAGTCCCTTGCAGAGACACGGGTTTATCTTTGCCAGAGAGTCTCCTCTTTCAGTAAGGAAGTTTCTAATGCTGGAGACATTCTTACCTTAGAAAAACCCCAGGGTGGGCTTTTAAGTATTTCAATGGAAAACGGGCTCAGCAAAGTCCTTTTATTATTATTGTTTAAAGGAAACCATTTATGCTTTGGAAGCAGCGACGGGGCTGCCTTTGACATTCATTGTGCCGTGCTCTCCCAGGCGTGAGGGGGGGGCGCGGAGGCCCCGGCCCAGCTCTTCAAAGGCGGCGGCCACAGGGATTATCCCCCCCGGGGCTGCCACAGGAGCCGGGGAAGGCGGAACGGCCGCCTCAGCCTGCGGGGCAGGGAGGAGGGCGGCCTCCCCGGGCGGCTCTGAGGGCAGCGCGTTCGCCGGGGCGGGAGAGGCGACCCCGGGCCTGCCAGGGCCGAGCGGACCTACCGCCACGCCACGGAGCCGCAAGGCCGAGGCCTAGGGAGAGGCGGAGACGGGCGGGCCCTCCGCGGGGCGCCCCCCTCAGAGAAAGGGGAGGGAAGAAAGGGGTAACGGAGAGGGGCTGCCCGGTGCGGGCGGGAGGCCGGGCCGGCGGAGGGGGAGGCCGCGGCGGGCAGCTCTGACCGCCCAAGATGGCGGCCGTCCCCTCAGGCGGCCCCTTTGTCTGCGGCCGCCGCCGCATTGCCGCGAAGGGCGCGAAACTGGGGCAGCGCGGCCACGCCCCCCCGCCACGGAGGGCGGGGCCGGAGCAGCCTCCCTCGGCCAATCGGATGCCTCCACTTCCTTTCTCCTCACAGGGGCTCTCCCGCCCAACCCTCCCCGCGCTCCCGGCCAATCGGCGCCTCCTCTCCGTGCCCCGCCCATGGGTGGGAGGGGCCAAAGGGACGGAGGGGTTTTGTTTGCGCTCCCCCCGCCCCTCGCCAGGGCCGGCAGAACTCATGAATATTAATATGGCTCAGCCCAATCAGGCGGGGCGGTGGCGGCAGCCCTTTGGTGGCGTCAGTCGCCCCGCCTTGCAGTGGGGGGGTTAATCTGCATATTCATGAGGTGGGCGGGGACAAGCGTGGTCGTATATAAGCCGCCGCCCCGCCAGCCTCAGCGTACATCGCGCTGGAGCTTTGAAGTGCTGTGTGGACCCCGCACCTCCAGGGCACTGGTAAGGCGCCCGCCGCCAAGGGCGGACTGTGGCTGAGCCAGGCCGGGGAGCCTGCGGGTGCTAGGGCTAAAGGAAACGTGTCTTAGAAACTGGAGGGCTCGCTACCCGGGGCAGGCCGGAACGGGTTGGCCGTCCTCCAGCATAGGATGCGTTCGGCGGTGTGGGGAGCCCGGCGGAGCCGTCTGGCCTGGCCGCCGGGGGGGGCGG